AGGTTCTACCCCAACGTAACGTTTCGTTCGCAGTTTCCTTTTCGCCGATTTACGTTATCGATTTCTATTCGGTTCACGTTGCATTTTTTTTTTTTTTCTAATAAAAAAAAAAAAAAACAGAGAATTTCACGAATTTTTTCTACGTTTATTTCTTCACTTTATTTCCCCTTCCCGCGAGAGATTCGAAGAAATCGAAGCATTGCGTCATCGAGTTCCTATTTCAACGTTATTCGATCAATTTTTCAAACATCACCGCCTGATTTAAATTATCCGAGCGACGAGCTTCCGCCCTCACCGACTTTCCGAGTTCCCCGATACGAATTGCACGTGAACTCTCGCGGCAGGAGCGCAAGATTTAAATTTCCTCGAGAGGAAATTCCCTCGCGCGAACTTGGTAACTGGCCGGGGAAAACAAAGCGATTCCGCGTAACAAGGAAGCATTCCTTCGAAGCTGGATAAACTTTGCAAAGCTCGTAAACGGTCTGCCAAAGTCGGTACTCGGTTTCTTAGAGCCGGCGCACAGGGTGAATAGGAAGAGTCTGCACGGGAAAAAGTAGAACGCGATGCGACGCGACGTCGCGAGCCGTAACGTCTCTCACCCCGTGGAAAAGCGTGTTTCAGCGTACGTTTCTACGTTGAAAAGGCGAAAGTCGCGCATTCACGGTCGGTGAGATACGCACGGGCGCGAGGGACACGTGCACACACACACACACACACACACACATACAGATAGATAGACTTGTGCGTGGACGGTACTGCGCAGACACTGAACAAAGCTCCCCCAAATGAATACGCGAGAAATTTGAAGGGAAGTGCGGCGGATGCGGCAATCTTTAGTATTCAGCGCGACCGACGCGAACGTTTAAGAATCCCGGCGGCAAACGAGAGAGGAGCGTGGAACAGACCCCGCTGCCTTTTCATCGGAATTGTACATGTGCCGTGATCTCCGAATCCAAACTTCCTCGCCACATTTCCCCTCCCCTTCTTTCCTGCTTCTTGTCGACCTGTCGTCAGATCTTTGCGTTTTCGAATTTTTTCAAATGGGAATTTTTAATCTAACAGAGTGGAGAAAAGTAAAAGGATTTAACAAAAACATATAATTTTTAAATTTTTTGACACAATCAATGTAAAAGGTATACAGTTGGTCTTAATGAAATATTTACACACAGCGCATGGATACTGTGAATTTTTTTGAATGAAATGAAAATTTCGTGTAATGATACATGTGTTCACTTAATATAAAAAGGGTACGGTTAATCTTAGTTAATAAAATATTTACGCAGAATTGAAGATTCTTGAATAGATAAACGTAAGTAAGTGAACTACTATTGAATTTTTATTTGAACAGCTGCCAGTTGCGGGATGACATTTTGCTTATTCTATCAGACGATTAGAAGGTACGTGTCATTTACTGAAAATTTGTTTCGTGTATCTTCGATCGATTGTTTGAATTCTGCTATATATTTCGTTTCTTTCCTCTAATATTAATTATTAATAATTGTAATATTCGAAGAATGTTAGGACTCTGTGGAGGCCATTTTCAAAAATTGATAGAGCTTCTTTTTTAAATAATTCATGACTGTATATACTTCAGCTTTATAAATTGGTGCATTGTCCCGTTTTAAATGATCGTTTCTAATTAATCGCCTCTCTTTTGGTATAGCGATTTCTTTTAATATAATCCAAGTACTATTTGTAATTACTGTTTCTTCCACTCCAAAATAAGTATTGTATCTTCAAATTGTAATAATACCCTGATGAATAGTTTTTGATGTTACTTTCGCATCAAGAATTCATACAATAAGGGAGAAAGCAAATAAATATTTACTTATTTTTGTAACGTTCCAAATGTACGTAATTATGAATAATACTTATTATATTAACTAACGCGATAGTGACTGACTAGTATAAATTTAATTCTGGCGTGTTCAGTTCTGCATCATGGCCGCCAGATTTTAAACGAACCGAGATCTTATATTCTATTTATCTGAAACATTAATGTTTACTTATTTTTGTAACGTTCCAAATGTACGTAA